TTAATTTAGTGAAACTGTATAAATTTTCCAGCCATAAATGTGCATGACGATAAAAACATCTTACAAAGGAAAGAAGTGTGAACATAACTGAACTTTTCTAACTTCATACACTACTGCTGCAGTAAGTCTATTCAAGTTTTTGATGAAACATATGAAAATGGAAAAGAAGATTTCTAATTTTGCATCACTAAGCAGTTTTGCCATTAAATTGAACGAGTTGTCTGTAAAGAACTGGGGTCCTGCAACGTGTCCTGAAACTTACTACTTTTGCAAGTGCTTTTTTCATCTGATTTTTGGAAAAGCACAAAAACCAAATCCCACAGACTACAGTATACAATTCAATCTAAATTTCAATGACATGAAATATTAGGATCTGATTATGTTATTTTAAAGGCAAGAATGGCTGATATATTCAGCCCATAAGAGAGATCCCTGTACACAATATTGCTCATTTGCAAAACCCAACTACTGAAGAGCACTGCCTCTGAAATCATACATGCATAGCATGTGTGTGTATATGCATAGATAGGGTTTTGATATTATATTGATTTTTATAAGATTAAATTAAATCAGTGACTGCAAAGGAAATGGTCTTAAATGACTATCAGTGTTCCTTAAATTCGGTTAATATTGATTCCTATGAGTAAGGTATTTGGAATGAACATACATCAAACTAGAAAGATGAAGCTGTGAACTAACGATGGCCATGAGTTACGGCCCTCACAATAGTTCAAGCTCCCACAGCCGGTTAAAAATACCTGTGCAAGACACACTGAAAAACAGCTTTCTTAGCTTGCCTGTGATTTAGGCAACATGAGGCAGACGCTTCCCAAGGAAGGTTTTGCATATTCTGGTCTAAGCCAAGGTGCTCGCTGATCATCCTCAATTCCACAAGACATATGCTCAAAGCCTTGATGAATCACTGCTGTGTTAGCACTGCAGCTGATGGATAAAGGTTACTCTCATGACTAAGGCAAGTAGGACTCAGGCTCTTGCCTAGTGTCAGATGCTTTAAATCCTATCTACTAGTACTAAATCGGTTCAGAAGTCATCTTTCCATCTCCGCTTACATATACCACAGCAGCTACTACCAGTCCCCGATATGTTTTGGGAACAAAATTGTATTAATAGTTGAAATGCCACTGTGTTGATGCTATTTGTTTGGTTGGCAAAATGAAAAATGCGCTGGACAGATTCCAGAACAAAAGGCACACGGGGTCTATCTGAGGGAAAATAAATAAATATTTGAAATCTCTGACTGAAATGTATTTTATTTTGTTCTATTTCTATCTACTGTTCAAATAGTTGTGTTCAGAAAGCTATGAAGTGAACCACCTTTTCTATGGCAACAGCACTAAGAAAAATGTTGAGTTTCTATTATCTAATTTAATTCTATTGATGTGATCTTATGGTAGCAACGATGCTTAAAATGTTCCAAGCTCAAAATGCTTTAGCATTTCCCTCCCACTGGTAGAATTTGGTTTCTATAATTTTAAAGTCAGGGTTCAAGGATTCTTTCATAAATTTCAGGAATAAAGATGCAAGCCAGGTCTATCCTATAAACACACAATTCTCATCATTAATAGCGTATCCAAAAGGCCAGACTCTAATGATGTTTCCTAATGTTTCCATTAGGAAAACAGATCACATAAGGAATATTGCTGATGAATACGAAATCTTAATGATTGTCAGATATGCTGTACAAAGCTACCTGTTTATATTACATAGCCATCAGCAGTTGCTTTCAGTTACAGAGTAATCATAATCATCACTTAGAGATCTGCAGCATCAAGAGCTTACAGTGTGCATTTACCTCTAGTATTTCTTCACAGAAATATAGAGGCTAGTGTGTTTTTTCCTTCAAAAGTCCTCAATTTTTGGAAATGAAATCATTTCTTTGTATCAAGGGTCAAGTAGGCAGGATCCAGGCCCCTATTTCCAATAACTGGCTGAAAAAAGTCCCCGCTAACCTTTGTAGGCCACTTAGGTCTTGGAGAAACAATGTTTTAAAAGATAAATCTGCAAATGTACAATTAAAAAATAAAACAAAAATCAATTAGAAAATACTTCCAAGAGTAATAGAGCTAAAAAACTACATCTCTGTCCTTGTAGGCATTCCACATAGTGGAGACTGGAGTTTAAATACATTTTATTTGGTCTAAGAAGATTGCTCCTTATACTAACAGGGATACTGATAAAATATGCAGAAGTAAATGAATCAATTTAGTAAAGGTGTAATATCATAGGAAATATTTCAGACATTACATATATCAATCTAAATCAATTTAAAACTGACTGTGGGATGACTGCCCCATTTACAACTCTGATTTGGGCTTCAGTAGCAGAAGTTGATGGAAATTAGTATATTTTAAAAGTACCAACTGACTGTGCAAGAAGGACCCCATCTCAGAAATGAAAAGCTTTTTTTGAAGAAGAAACATAGCAAAAAAGTAGAAGTCTTGTATAAGAATTCTTCTTATTAAACCAAGCTGTATTTATTAAACAAACACATATACTTTTATAGATCATTTAATGATGTAAAAAAATGTCTAGTTACTTTCTTGGCTAGCAGCCTATTCAGTTAACAAATTGTTCATCTGCGTATCTTAAGAAATTACTTTCAGGAAATATTTCGACCTCCAAGGACACTGAAGGCCTTTGGCTTGAAATAGTCACATGAACTGAAGTTCTTGAAAGCCAAGATACTGTAACTTCTCCAGCAAGGGAGAGGTAATAAATAGCAGCCCTGGGAAGACAGCAGAAGCTGGTGCTCATCCTGCACTCAGCAAGGCAGAACAATAAAGCTGAAAGGATGAAAATCTTAGACTAGAATATTACATAATAATCAGTTCCCTTCCTAGAGTTTTTCTGTTGCAAATGCTCATACAATTAGGCCAGGAAGTGATACTACAGAGAGCTTTTGTTTTTTGATGCTATTACATCTTGGGAGTGTAAGTTTGATGAATTTCGCAGGTACGCAAAATACTAACGGCTTTTAGCCGCTTAATCATTTTTTTAAGACAGATAAAACATACACTGGGTATTTTTTCAGTCTTCTGAATGTATTTTTTATTTATGTACTGTGAATTCAACCCTGAAATATCTTTGTTCAAAACAGTCTGGGATTGAATGTAGAGAATAATATCAGTTACACAGAAGTATTACATATTTCTCTTTATCCTTATTGCAAAGAAACTCCTCAAGAACTTACAAAAGAGGATGAGTGAAGTTAAGAGGATTCTGTATTTATAGCTGTGGTAGTTATCAGCTATATTCTTTAATTGAAACTGAAGTGAGCAGCTGCTAGCATCCCTTCTATTAAACATTAATGTGGTAGATTTGAAACAATAAACAGTTAATGTTATTTGATTTCTTACAATCAGCAGCCCCAAAAAAACATCTGGCTGTGATGGTCGCAGAGTCAAATGGCTAGCTGCTTACGTGCTCATCAAGTTGGCTGTTTAAAAGTGTCAGTCTTTATGAAAGTGGCACAAGTATTTATTCCCACATTCAGAAAAAGGGAAGACAGAGCTGCTTGTGTGAAAGACAGTGTGTTTGTTTGTGAAAGAGAGGAAGAGGGAGGGAGAAGTGAGGATATGGAGTTTGATACCTGTTGGCAACAGGGACAGGTTTGTATAATATTGTGATGTGCCAGTTTGGACGGATTCCATCCTATTTAGTCGGGTACTGAACGCACACTGTTTAAACTGAGAGAGATTCATGACATGACTGAGCAGCGAGGAACCACAGAGGAATTCCTGTGTATGTTAAGTGGTGTCACCTTCATGGCGGTAGGCAGTGCCTAAATAAGGATTTGAGTTAATCTCTTCTGTAATAGCCACAGAGAAACTGCCATCGCTCTTGTGCTCCGAGGCTGTGCAGGGCTGCACACCGATCCAGCGCCTCCCCAGGCACGCACAGGATCCCTACGGGTCTCATGCTGTCTAGCAGGGATGCTGTCTGGCAGCTAGGGTCTCCGGCTGGGATGCTGCTACCCAGCAGATACCAGCACCAAGCAGGGCGTAAGGACACGCTGTGCCTCTAGCCTCCCTGCATCAGACGGGGAGCGTTTTGTGGGGCGGCTTTAGGGGTCGACACACTCCTGCATTTCTCATTTAGGAGCCTCGGTAACCATGCAAGTCACAAGCAATTGGAGGTCTCTCCTTCTTGGAAGTTTCAGCTGGCTGCGTTATCTATTTAGTCAGCCACAGAAAGGGATGGAAGACAACTTGTGGGACAGGGAGGACTCCTGGCTACTCACAGACTAAGATTCATTCTGATCTTGGTTCTAAGAGCAGTATTTCCAGGATACTTTCCTTTCTGAAAGTAGGAAAGAAGGCTCTTGTAGCATCTCCATGAATTTATTTATTTATTTATTTATTTGGAGGCGCAAAGCTTTTGGGGGGGGGGGGAGAATGGTGATGATGGATTGGGGGGGGGGGATTCACTCCCCTCGTGGCTCTTCCAGCCTCCTCCTCTTCCCTCATCTACATATCTGGCTGGTGGGTGATTTTTATTCTCAGCACGAAAACTGCAATCCATTTCAATGCATGAATGCAGCCCTGCATCTATTCAACACAGTGAAATAGCCCAGAGATTTATTGTACTAAATAGGAAAACAAGGAGAAGAAACAGATTCTCCAGCCTCAGAAGCAGCCCTCTGTGATTAAAAGTCCTTCTAATCCTTTAAAAGAAAAGGAAAGAGAAGGAGAAAAAAAATAAAAAAGGTGTGTGTGGAGGAAGCCACACAGCCAAAACCATCCCTCCTCCCAAGGAAAAAAAAAATGCTAACTACTATCCCATGACATTTTCATTATCAGAAATTTCAGAAGATCTGACTTAATGAGCCACTACAGCTCAGTCTAATATCCTCTCTATTAATAAGGCAGCCACTCACACAGTGCACCCTGCAGAAAGCAGACACTAAGTCATAAAGAAGCCTTCAGAGAGAAAGCCTCTGACAGCGAGACGTAAATAATATTAATAAAATGAATACTCACTCTTTCCAGGACCAAGGAAACAGCCTGCTAACAGCCTCTTCACGAATGGATTAAGAGGGTGAGGTAAAAAGAAATAAAATATTAGCCAGTCCCTGTGAATAGACAGGATTCTCCAGATTTTCTTTTCATGCTTTTTGAGGTTGCTGATGCTAGAGGAGATGCCGGTTATTTAGCGTCTCGGGTTTCTGCGCCTGCATGCTAAAGTGCAGTTATTAATTTCTCCCTTTGCACATATCGCGGGCAGCAGCACGTCTCCAGGAAAGCGGGGATATTCCAAATAAATCCACTAATTCCGGCTCCGAGCGCTCCAACGTGCCTGCCTGCCAAATGTAACTGTGAAGTGATGTGGAAAAGTGAGCCGGGAGCCTCCCCTGACAGCTCTTATTGGGCTGATCTCGGAGGCAGGTCTAGCGCTTGGAAATTCATGTAAGCAGTTTTGGGTGCCCCCCCGCGCCTGCCCGCCCTCCCCGCCCGCTCCGGCTCCCGCTCCCGCCGGGAGAGCGCACAACTTTTCCGCTCGTG